TTCTGGATCTGATCTTTCCTCTCACACGTCTCTACTTTCCTTTGGTTTTTGGGTGCTCGCTCTGTCACTCACATTATCTCTCTTCCTTCCATATCTGTTGTCACACTTCCTCTTCGAAGCTGGTTTGTAGCAAATGTCACCTGTAGCAAGAATATTGCACTTATGTAACACATAAATGCTCGCTCCACTTTTGCGCGTGGGCTTTTCTGTGAAAGACCGACACATTTTTATCCCAAAAAACCCAAAGCCTGTTCTCAGGGGTGTCGAAGGTTTGAAAATGTGTCAGAGTGTAGGGTGATACAGAGGTCGCTATTGTCAGTCATTCAGGCAAAGCAGTGACATCACTTAGTTGACGTGATTGCAGATTGTTAACACCAGGACTCCCTGAGGCCCACACACCGCAAGTGAAGAAAGTTAGGGCCCGTACACACCGCTCGCATCATGTGAAGCAGAGAGACTTGAAATGCGCGCTCGTTTTATCAGCGAGGAGCATACACACCGCACCCCAAAGTGCCGCACAGATGAGCGCAGTGGCTCATGCGGTGTGAAATACAATTTCACATCTCTTTTCACTAATATAGACTTTGATAAGGAAACCCCCTCTCATCTATTCAACAAAATAATATACACATAATACATTACAATGCCCTTCTTTAAGGTATGACACAAACGCGAACGCCCACACACACACACACACACACAGACACAGACACACACACTTTCTGGTTTGGCTTTGTTCTGCTTTGTATTTTTCCGTTGGTGTTTGATTATCCATATTTTACACACAGTGCCTCTTAGTTAGTGTGCACTACACTGTGTGCAACTAATCTACTTTGATCTAGTTTTTAACAGTTTGCCTCCTCAGTGAAATCATTGCTACCATTTTTTCAACACTTAAAACCTGATGTGAGAAACTTGTTTTCCGTGCATATTATTCCCAGTTACACCCATCCATCCATTCATTTTCTTCCCCTTAATCCATTTCTGGGTCAGGGGGGTGGCAGTCAGAGCTGCACCCAGTTCACAGAGCACCAGCCCCTCACTGATCCTCCTGCAGGTGGTGAGTCCACAGGAGCAGTTACACATGAGATTCTAATGCTTCCATGTTAGTTATATATAGACATATATGCCGTCAAATATGATTTTTTTGTTGTTGCTTTTTTTCAGCGGCAGTCGGAACATATTAGTGTTGACCTTTTAGACAATTTTTTCTAAAATGGGGAGCGAGAAAGTGTGTAAATTTAGGAAGCAGTGGGAGCGGAAGAGACAGAGAGAGGGACAGAGATAATGAGAGAGAGACAGAGACAGAAAGAGGCAGAGATAGAGGAGACAAAGTCCATATATTTTCACAAAAAAGTAATCTAAAAGAACAGTTTAGTCATAAAGTAATGAGAAATTAGATTTTTGACTTCTGTTTATAGTTATCATCTTAAAGTGAGAGAGTAAGCACGCCTATATGCAGTCTTTTGGCAAGGTAAGCTTATTTGTATTGAAAAATTCATACAAAATTAGGCATTACAAGTCTTATAAGCTATACCTAAAACAAACTCGATAAAAGGTGTTTATTAGTTGTAGCGGTTCTGTTGGCACTCCCTCAGTTTATAATGCTGCCTTCGAGTTTAATATCTCTGAGTAAGAGTGACATTTTTAGACGTAGGTGGTCAGCCTTTACCAGATAGTAAGGTAAACTGAGACAGAAGGAAGTTTTTGTTTATTTGTTTGACTTTGTTTATGTTTTCTTTTCTCCGTGTAACACTGGCTGTAGATTTGTATAACAAAATATCTGTATCTGCAAAGTAAAGCTAAGCCAAGCCCTTTTTATTTCTGTATTATTATTATCATTATTATTATCATTTTTGTTATTCTATTGACTTTTCTTGTTTTGGTTGATAAGACAAACAAGTGTGTCTAATATGGTACTTGAAATTTGTCAAGATGTACTGTACAAAGACGGACTAAAGTAATAGTAATAAAGTAACACTAATAGTACCCCATATTCGCCAAAAATATGTTTTCCTCCATTTATTTATTTTAAAAGTGACTGACACATATATACATCTTTTAATGTATAAGTTATGGTGGTAATTCTGGAGTGGAGAAGTTTAAAACGCTGGAATGATGTTGAACCTTGAACATAAGCCCGTTTGATCTCCTGATAGTGGAATTTCCTCACAATAAAGATTTAATACCGTATAAAAAGTTTTTATGATAAATGTCAAAGTGCGCTCTGAGATCTCAGCGGTTAAATAATGGTCTGTTTTATGTGAGTGTTTTCTTTTGCATTTGACTGCCATCTGCTCTTTATGGATTATTGTCGATGCTATTCGCGGTGCTGGGTAACGATTAGTAACCTCTTCAAGCCGCTGTTTGTTTGGGCCTGGAGGGTCTTGCCAAATAGTCACAATGAGTTTGGATCATGGGAAATCATTGTTGTGGGAGAAAGGTGTAGTGTCGGAGAGAAAGTTTGTGTTTGTATAAGTGTGTGTTGTCTTATTTTGTCTCTCTTATACCATCTGTGGTAGTGTCATCTATTGTTTTACTGTATGTACTGTACAGCTATGTGTTTGAAGTCTTACTGTTATTGTATTGTGTGGCATGTGTTGGTGGAGGTTGGAATCAAATAAGCTTTTGCTTAATCCAACCCCTTTTCAAACCATGTACTTGTTATTTGTCATGTTGATAGATTTGAACAAGTGCTGACATAGAGAATAGTCAACAATGTGTGATGAAAGGCGAGTTAACTGACATTCATGCAATTAAACGCAATTTAAGAAAAAACATCTTTGAACATCACTATAAACATATGTATTGCGCAGGTTTGAAATAAATAATATAAATCTAAACTAATTCTCTACAATAAGCTACAAACTGAACCACACAGTAACTCACTGTGCAATTTATACTGTATGTGTTTTGTTTTCTTTCCTTTTAAAAATTCAGCTCCGAAAGTTCATTAAATTTTATTCATTATAAATGAGGCATATTCTTCAGAAAACAAGTTTCAAGGCTTAATGTGTTTTAGAAGAGGTTGGGAATACTTGAAAAGTTCCAGATGCCATATGGTGGAAGATTGATAATTTCACTCCACCATCCAACTCACAACATACTATTACCACTATTATGAAAATCAAGTAATCTGTCATTTAAAACAAATATTTCTTGTGTACGTCACATTTACAATGGTCAACAACAATTCTTGAGGCCTATACTTAATGATAGTACAGTGGGGTAAGTCTTTCAGCCCAGTAAACAATGACTTATACAGCTGTTTAAATACAAGTTTTAATATAACTGGTATATGCTCCTGGATGAGTAAAACGATAACACATCGGAAAGCCTTTTAATCTTCGATCTATCTATTTCTCGGTTACAACCACGTGACCAAAAGGGGGCGTGGCAAGGGGCCATAGGACAGGAATTGATGTTGTCCTATTAGTTCAAAAGGGCGATGCGTTAAAACCAGTGGGGGAGGGTCCCAGCTCAAAAGTGGCCAAAATGACGTGCGCTGACATGCTTGCAATACCACCCCGGGCCGATGGGGGTGGACCCAGAAGAAGAATTAGCCAATGCTAACATATAGCGTTGGCAGACCTCTCGAAAACATCTTTACAGGATGGTCCAAAAGTTGGCTCCGTTCCACATGTGTGTCAATGCTGAGGGGGGTGGATTTTTTTGGACCACTCTAGTTTACTCGCTGTGAATTTTTGAAGTCTCTCGTTCAAATGAATAGAGTTGCGCCGGCTGACGATAGCGCAGATGCGTTTTTTCACAATTTTCTTGTGGGCGGGACCACTCGCGGCCATTTTGGATAGCTCCAGTAGACACATTTTTTGGCCCAATAGTTAGAACGGCGGAGATAGGCGTGACTATGTCCGTTAATACAGTCTATGGTTAAAACGCACACATAGGAGTCTTTTGCTCCTTAGTTTGGACTCTCATTTTAAGTGAGAACTATTTGCAATGCAGCGTACGCCTTGTGTAACAATGAGGAGTACTAAGCGTGGAAAAAAAAGCTTGGATACGATTTCAGACATTACCTTAGTCCCCACAGTCCCAGACCCTGGTCCTCACAGTCCCAGACCCTGGTCCCCACAGTCCCAGACCCTGGTCCTCACAGTCCCAGATCCTGGTCCTCACAGTCCCAGACCCTGGTCCTCACTACTCTTGGTTAGCTTCTATGTGAGAAGACTTGTACATTCTGTTCCTCTTTCCTAAAAAAATGACACGCCTTAGAGAAATACATTTTAGCAAAATAGAGACACCAGAAGTTCAAAAAATGTGACTCTGAATATTTACATTGTTCTTAATGAGGAGATGTACTTCCTGTCCCTCAAAGGACCTTTGCGCGGCAGTGTGACGTCACCTGAAACCCATCCATCCATCCAACATTCAAAAGATGGAAAGAAAATTAAAATGGGTTTTGCAAAGCTTCTCAGAAAAGGAACTTTCAGCCCAAATTGGACAGAAGTTGAGGTAATTTTCAATGATTGCCCTCAAATCCATTTTTCAATTTTCCAAACACACAGACTCTCACTTTAAGATGCACATAGAGGTCGATCTGTATATAACACTGTATTTCTGACAGTGATGGGAGAAGAAAAGACATTTTAGCTTAAGACTAGTATGACTTTTGGCACATGGAGGAGAAATAAATGAGTAAAAAAGGAACAAGACCAGAAAATGTACTACATTTCTCTAAACTCTAACAAGATGAGATAATTTTGCTTGGCCCATTGGCAAATGTTGTTTTAAGGCAATCAAAATGTGCTCCAAAAAAATACTTTTTGCCAAATTTGAGCAATTTTTGACTTATTTTTCATAACTTTATGCAGTGTATTTTTTCCTTCTTGACAAAATTGTCATGTTGACTAATGACGAATAATGTATTGGAATTTTGATCCCTCGGTCTACAACGCTGCTTCCTGGTCAGCTCCACTCTGTTGGCATCGATAAAAATGTTCACCGTAGCTCAGAATATGTTGCATCTGAATTTCAGATCCATGAATGGTATAATAAACTGACGTCCTAGTATTGGAACATGATGGAGCTCGAGCTATTCAAAGTATGTGTGTATTTTACAATTACTATTTTACAGTTACATTTCAATAACTTCTGCTGAGGTTTGGTGATATCAAAGTCAATTAAACTCAACAAAACAAGATATAAGAAATAATCATGCTAGAAATCAAAACAGTTTATTATAACAGTACATTAAAATGGGGAAGATACAATCCTTCAGTTGTATGCACAGTTAAACAGAACTGTTTTAACCTGGATTTGAACATTGTCAGAGAAGAGGCTTGTCTCACATTTTCAGGACTGTTCCAGATGCCTCCCCATGTTTAGTTCTGACTCTGGGCCCCGGCAGGAGGCCAGTCCCTGTGCTCCTCAGAGTCTGAGTTGGTTCATATGGCACTTTGTCAGAGATGTACTTTGGTGCGAGGTCATGGAGAGACACAAAACGCAATTTAAAATCAACAGTTTTAAATGCCCTGTATGCATCCCACCCTAAGAACTTGGATAATTCATATTGTCATACTTCCATACTGTCTCCTCACCTTCAAAACAAAGCACACATCAAATTACACACTATTCAAAGACACACACACTCACATACTCACCATCTGTCGTCTGTAATCTTCCTTCCCGTGTGTTGCAGCCGTGCAGTCGCTGAACAGCCTGAATGACCAGATCGCCAGCTTCATGGTTCCAGGCCCCAAGCCCATGGAGCCGGAGGAGGAGGAGCCGGACTCCAGCCCCAGTCCCTCCGAGGGCCAAGGAATGCACAAGTCTATGACCCTGATGAGGCACCTGCTCGTCGATGCCCAGGTATGATCTCCGTCACGCAGATATAAGGGTGAAACATCCAACTGAGATATAAAAGTGTTTTGTTCTTCTATAGCAGACAATAGCACATTATCAAACGCTATTCCCAGGGGCAGTTAACCCAGCCAACATATATGGTTTACTGGGCTGGCGCATGTGGACAACATTGATTTTGTTGTAAAATTAAGCTGGTGCGCTTATATACAGGTGCACCTTACAGTCCAGAAAGCATGGTATATTTTTTATTTTCAAATACAGTAATTAGATCAAAATGCAAACACACATACACACAAATCTGTACAATAAAACAAATACTGTAAGACCTGAGTTGTGCATGTTTTTACAGAAAATATTCATTATACACAAACGTTTTATGTCTTATTTGGACTGAGATTTTTATCTTTTGATTGCTATTTAACCAGAAAAACCTCAGGGGACACCTTTATGAGGAAATAATAAGACCATAGCGGAAATGTACTGACGAAAAGGATGTGGAATTTCATTGTCAGTTTTTGTTTCATTTGGACTGGTTCAGGAATTACAGAGAAATTATCTTGAAAGTAAGATCAGAAATCTGACTTTTGACAGCTCCCTCACCAACAATGTTTAATAATAGGCTCTTTGGAATGTTTTGTTGTTACGGTAACTAAGCTATTGAGGTCTAATAGCTCAAAAGAGTCACTTATTGACAACCTTCTCTAGACTGCAAACTTTGCACTGCCATAGTCATTGTATAATTGTTCATACACAACCTTTATTGCACACCATTTCCATTTTCTACCCTTTAATCCATTTCTGGGTCAGGGGGGTGGCAATCAGAGATGCCACCCAAGTCTCATAGCACCAGCCCCTCACTGATCCTCTGCAGGTGGTGAGTCCACAGGAGGACGGCTGCTCTCTGAGTGTGAGCATAGCCTTGATCTTTCAGTGGGGGCTTTGGGCAAAGTGGGGTTAAGTGTCTTGCCCAAGGACACAACGACAGCAGTCATCAGTGGGAGTCGGTGGAGAAGGTGCAGAGGTGGGAATTGAACCCACGACCTTCTGGCCTTAAGGCCAATGCTCTACCAACTCAGCTACTATCGCTCAGTTGGTAAACTCGTTGGTTTACGAGTTGGTTACTCGTATTGCACACAAGATACCATAAATCTATTTCACTTTGTTAGCAGTTTTGCACATTTCCTGTCTATTTACACACCTTGAGTGATCTTATTGAAGCCAAATGTACATGTAAATATCACCCATTGTGAAATTTCTTTTATCCTAACTTAATTAGCAAAAAGGATATTCAATATATAGTGAGTTTTTTTGTCTTCCTTGTAGCAGTTTTAATTTTCCCTGTGTACTGTCAGTTTGTGCATATTTTCTCTTCCTGGCCACATTAAGCAGGGATCCCAACATAAGCTGTTTAAAGCCATTGTCCTGTGAAACAAAGGTTAGCTCCGTTCTAATTTGTCACAACAGTGAATCAGTGATATTCTCCCACACCTGACACCTTCTCTTCACGCCTCATTTTCCTCCGGTGCAGATGGCCTGAGCAAACACAGACTGTCGTTTCTGAGCCCATTCGAAAATGAAAATATTGACTGTATCTAGCGGGCTCCTCTCAACAAGGGCACACTTCCATTATAAAAGTCAATCGCCGCTTAAATCCCCCTGATAGAATATTTTTCCACCTCATTCATTCCTACAAGGCACCTTTTCCGAGGACTATTTCCTCTATGTACCAATGCATTCCCTGGCTGTCGCTGCGGTGCATTTCTGAGTATCACTTGCTGAAAGTAAAGAGGACAGATGCCTGTAGTTAGCACTATTTTTATAATGAATAGTTGAGAGTTTGACATGAAGCAAATGGTGTTTTTTGATTCACATTCATTCAGAGATTTGCAAGTGCAGAGTCAAGCGTTTCTTTCCAGGAGATGGGCTGCTCACTTTTTTAGCATCTGATGACAGACTAATGTTCTGCACATGAGCCAAGCTTCAACAATAGACGATGATAGAGCTTTGGTTACAGGAGAATAAACATTTAAATGGACTTTTCACAGCTATTTTCCCAGTCCTCCCAATTGTTTTGACAGTGACGCATGCTTGAGTTATATAATATAGTTTATGGACTTATTATTTTGACTTCATAAAGTTTTAGTATCTATAGTACACTTGTTTATTGTCAACCTAGATGAAGGTGTACTAGTCGTAGAAGCTAACGGTGAATAAGTGATGGAAGCTAACGGTTAGGTATGCCTATGGTATCAGGTCTATAACAATTTTAAATTTCAGTTGCATTAGTTTGTATGAATTTCCAGGGATAACACAATTCATATAGTTACAGTCTATGTGCTTTACTCGTATAGGTATTCGGTATTGGCAAGTACTCAAATTAAGATACTTGTACTTGCATTGGTTTTGAAAAAAGACCCAAAAAAAACTAGAGCCGTCTTTCTAATAGGGACAGATGGCCAATGTCAATAAATGTTGATAAATGTCCATAAAGATTACTTTCTTACTTCCCTACTCTACATGATCGGTTGGTAGTCAGCTGGTCAGGTTTCAGGTTTCCGGACCCAGCCAGACGACTCTACATTCTGACAGATTTGATCCAAATGAATTCAATTTTCTCTTTAATTCTTCTTTCGTCTAATCTTGGAAATCCTTTGTGGAATAACAACTAACCAAAGTGGCTGTAAAACATTATAAGGTGGTAAAGGTCACTTGTGTTTTCTCTGGTCCAATCAAATGGCACCAAACACGAATCATGAAATGGGAAGCTCGGGGCAAAGATTCGGACTCTGAAAAATGAGAAAATGATTACAGTGGGCCCTCACTATCACACGGTTCAGCTTTCGTGGCCTCGCCGTTTCACAGATTTTTTTCTATGTGACATTTGTGTGATTTTTTTTTTCAGAATATCATCATAAGTCCTTTTTTAAATGTCTGCTTCTAATAGTTTATCTATTTTATTATTACTGGTTTTTGACCCTTACACATTTAAGGTGACCTTGAATTCCCAGAAAGGCACTATATAAAAACAATATATCATTATTATATCATTACTACTGTTCTCTCTTTGCTCTCTCTGCTCTCTCTCTGTCTTTCTGTCCCAAGTTTCAATCCTGTCATGAACATGCTAATTGCTACAGTTTATAATTCTTGTTTATGACATCTTGAAATCATCCACCAGCACTTTTAGAGGCTATTTTTCTCTCGTCATCTCTCCAGTCTAGTTTGAACAGCTCTGACTTGATTACTTACTAAAACAGAAATAAATACATCCTTCAGTTGATGAATAGAGTGATTGAGCTGTCTTTGTCATAACACCCCACAGCTGTTGGGCCATTTGGTCACACTCTGATTACTTTAGCTGACAAGTCTTTCTTCAACAGGGTTTACAGAACAGTGCTGAGGGCGACTGAGATAATTACAAATGACTCTCAATGCAGTAAGCTAAAAAAGTTTGTGATACCCCCTTTTGAATATGACGACCTGACAATTTTGCCAGTCATCAAGAATCTCTGCAAGAATCCCTTACTTAGCTTTGATAAGCATCATCATAATACTAGACGTAAAACTAGAAAATGTGGTTGTTTTTACACTGAAGTTGTACAAAATTGTTTCTATTTTTGACGGGGTACAATGTTTGTAATGTGGTACAAAAATAAAATAAAATAATAAGTCTCGAAAGACTTTACAAAGCCTTCAATTTGCCAACACAGATCAGAGAATTCAACATTTCAAACACAAGAAATGCGATGATAAAAAAAATATAGAGCCTTTGGTTCATAAGGGGCAGAGACCAGTGTCCATAAATGTTTTGGTGAAGGTTGAGTGTCCTGGATCATCACCACTGTCCTCTTAGACCCTTCTGCATCTGCAAGCAACAGGCTGTAGATCCTGGACTGAAGACACTAACTCTAACCTGAACAGGGAAGGGCTGGATTGGATATCAGGTATTGCATTCACCGTCTGTAATAAAAACAAAACAAGATTGGCATAGTCTGTGTCCTTTGCAAATACCTGTGGCTTGTTCTTATGTCACTCTCCTCTTTTTAAGCCCTCTGGCGCTGCTTAATGTGTCTTTTCCTGAGGCAGGTTTAATTCACTGACTCAAATGTACCGCTGCACTGCAGCAGAGACATGTGAGACTGTGGAGCGAGCTGTGAGTGACACACTCAGGTCTGACCTTCTTCACTACAGACAGGAGGAAGACAAAGAGGAGGAAGTAGCTCTTCCTTCAACACCACTCCGCTGCTAAAACTCTGGTCTATACAGTTTGTCGGAGCGTACAAGTGTTAGTGGTAGATAGAATATTAGCGTTAGGGATGTTGCTCTAGCAACTTCAAAAGAACTGCAGTTTCTGAAAGGCCAAATTCACCACTAAAATGTAAGTAAGTATAAAAACGTTCTCATCAATCAACACTTAATCACGGGCCAATTTTCAAGGATAAAAAGCGCAGGCCAAGAAGGCGGTGGCTGTTTTCGGGCATTACCTACATTTGCAAATCAAGACATGCAAATGTTAGCAACCAAAGTAGCCAGTTAGCTTCTCCTCTTCTAAACTGGGGACAAAAAACGCCGGGCCTTCTAGTGTTAAAGGAGCTATGTCACGGGGACAGCATTCGAAGCAGAAACGGGCAAACTTCCCTCTACTCTCAATCTTCTGGGTCAACCGAGGAATCCTGAGGCGTTCCAAGGCCAGCTGAGCTCCAACGTGTCCTGGTTCTCATCCCAATAAATACAAAAATCCTGTTGTAGTTCAACATAAGCAAAAAACCCGTTAGCATCACCCTCTGTTTATTGGGACTGGTTTGATTAAAGCATCTAGCATCTGTAACCAGCACCAAAAATAGCCATTAGTAATACTAGTCTCTCTCCCTGGTGACTCTATGGTCTCTCTGGTCTCTCTCTGGTCTATCTCTGGCCTCTCTCTGGTCTCTCTCTCTCTGGCCTTTCTCCGGTTTCTCTCTGGTTTGCCTCTGATCTCTCACTCTGGTCTATCTCTCTGGTCTATCTCTCTTCCTGCTTTCTCTCTCTGATCTCTCTCTCACAATCTCAAGATGATTTTTAGGGAGGGATTTAGGGCTATACAAAAAATTATATTGCATTGAAACAATCTAACTCCGTAGTAAAATCCATCTTGCGAGTTCCACGCTTTCTTCACTTCCACTTCTCTTCATGCTTCCGTGGCCACAGCTGACCGGTTCACTTGAGCGTGGAGACATTACCTCACTGCTTTTGGGCCTGAAGAGGTGACTTTGACAGTGACGTGGGAGAAGTCACTGAGTAATAGGACACATTTGACCCGCTCTGACCTCCTCCTCAACCAACCGTAAGCAGCTGCCAGTCACTCTGAGGCTGAGGGCAGGACGAGTCAATACTGCGTCTTCTTTGGAGCGTGAAATGCAAAGTAAAACACCCTTTCTTTTTCCGTCTACTTCTCCCCTAATACAGCACATTTTCCTAATTGGACAAAATTTACGTGATTTTATTGGTATTGGTTTAACTCAAGGGTGTGTCAAAACCCTTCAGTAAGAGCGCCACTTTAGTTTTAACTTTTATAGACATTGGTCATCTGCCCCCTAAGGACCAATGGCATTTTCTGTGTTTGAACGCTTTGATTCTCTGATCTGTGTTGGTGAATCGACATCTTTGTAAAAGGTTATACAAAAAAGAATTGGACAGTAAAACAGTATTGAGTGGTTTTGAGCTGTTCTGAGCTTTCAAATGGGGGATGACATGTATTGATTCATGTTTGACAGAGCTGAAGTTGGCTTAAAGATGCTCTAGAGCAAAAAAAAGGTACCTCATTTAAGCTCTTCAACATTGAGAGGTTTTTATTATGTTTCATAATTATGTGGGGAATTGCTGCGTACAGATAAAAACCTTTCAATTAACTTATTTTCCATGAAGAAATCAGAAGCCACAAACTGCTCAAAATGGAATGAAAATAGATTCAAGAATAAGATTAGGAGATCCTTTATCCATCCCACAGTGGGGAATTTTCAGTGTTGCATCACTAATGACAGAACAATAGAGATGAGGGTACACAGCAAGATAAATGAACAATAACTCAATACTCAAATAAAATAAAATCTCTAACTTTAGCATAATACAGAAGCAAGTGTAAAATCTCTTGCTTGCGTAGGTTTCCTCTGGGTACTCCGGTTTCCCCTACCACTAGAAATATGCACACTAGGTTAAATCCTCCAGCTCCGGTAGTCCTGACCAAGCCGAGTATCAACATCTGGAGATGAGTTCCCGGTTACTACGGCGACCACTGCTCCTGACGTAAGCCTTTGCGGCAGCAGGATGGGTCAAATGCAGAGGATGAATTGCCCTACAGGGATTAATAAAGTGCACCTATACCTTTACCACTAATCTGAAGCAGCTGCCAAATAATGCATACATTCTGTAATTAGTGTGAATATTTAATCAATTAGTAGATGTTCTCTGCGTTCTCATGTTACTGTATGTGTGCTGTGTGCTCTGGAGCGTCGTCTCAGGGAGAGATTTTGACAAACAGCCTCTGATAATCCGGCTCATTCATTGAGTAGAAGAGCTGCACTTTTCTGTACTGAGACTATTAAGAGTCTGCAGACTCCATCCTGAGTGATTCATGCACAGCGCTGCAGTGGCTGACAACTGAGAGCTGCTCCAACTACCAGTTCAAATAAAACCACATTATTATTATCACTTAAAACAGGGTAGTTCTCCTGCTTTTCAGCTGAACAGATGTAAGCCGGGCACCGTTTTACAGATATATGGGAGAAATGTCACGGATAAACAATGAAGGACCCAAGAGCCGAACTAAAGCAGATTATATATTTTAATAAATAAAAAAAGTAAAAACTGAAACCAAAAACAAAACAAACATTGGACCGACAACAAGAGACCAGAGAACAGGGTCTACATACACACAGGTAGACACCGGGGCAAGCAATCAACAGGACAAACAAGAAAGTAAATTAACAACAAGAGAACACAAATACATCAAAATAAATCTAGATGAATCCACACCATGACAAGAAAAAAAAAAAGTATTGGTTTAAGTTGCTTGGACACTGAGGAGCACAGGGAATGGCCTCCTGCTGGGACTCTGAGGAGCACAGGGACTGGCCTCCTGCTGAGATTCTGAGGAGCACAGGGACTGGCCTCCTGCTGAGATTCTGAGGAGCACAGGGACTGGCCTCCTGCTGGGACAGAAGGATCCTGATTGGTTTGTTGTTATACAAGTATGTTAAACCCAAAATAGCAGGTGTGACTGCTCAAATATTTACTGAGATAGAGGAGTTTACTTTTACACATAAGCAAATGGGAGGTGGGGATAAACTTTATCCATGAGCACTTCACTATTACGCTAGTGCGATAGCATTGTCCACCTATATACAGTCTATCGATCAACCACACATATAGCACTATGAATGTCCAATGCTGGTGTTGAAACTGTGCTGAAAAATAGTAAAAATGAGTTTTTCAGTTTTTTCCAGCATAATGATTGACATGACCTGTGTGAATATAAAACAGCAGTGTGAGTGGACAGATGTGGAGAGTGTCTAATGCTGAATGTGTGATGTGATTGAGGGTCAGTGAGGCCTGCTGGGATCCATGAATTAAACATGAGCCCCATCTGCCCCCAGGCTCCGTCTCGCCGATGTGGCGTTGAGGTGATTTTTCATATAGAATCGTAGCTCTTTTCCCCAGCCGACAAATCTGCTCAGAGTAAAGTGCTCTGGACTCAATGTGACCACGATTGTTAAGGACTGTGTGTTGGCAAGGTTGAGCTGACAGCAATGAATGATAACGGGCCAGCTTTTGGAGTAAAACAAATATGCTAAAAGGCCTTATGGTGCTTTCAGACCGGCAACGCTGAAACGCACGTTCTCTAGTTTTCAGACGCAGGGGTCTTCACACCAGAGGTCCTGACGCGCGCCAGAAGTGCCGTAAGTAGCAGGCGGGCTTTGATGCTAACAGAGTTTAGCTAGCGGCTTCTTGTGTACAGATCTTCTCCAATAATGCAGCTCTGCAGCGTGTCTGTGTTCAGAGACCTTCCACAGATTTTATATAACAGAAGTATGTGTTCACGGAGGTGCGTAATAATTTAATTTTATTATTAAACGGTACTTCCTCATTGGCGAACACACTCGAAGCAGTTGCATAAAGTCACGGGAGCATGAAAACTCACATGTTAACAAGCACTATGTCTCCCATTGTCAACTCTGGCTTAGTCCTGATGTAGCTCCTGTTTTGGCTGTTTACGAGTATTTTCAGTCTGCTCACTCAGACCGCTAATGTCCCCGTGACCACTTTGCGGCTCTCTGATTGGTTGCTGCACGAACGTCCCGAGGAAAGGTTGAGCAAAATCCATCTCCTGCGTTCCTCCCCTTTGATTTCCCAGCGCGGTCCGTGCGTGTATTCC